GTGGTATCAAAATCTTTAGGGTTCTTTTGGCAGATAATACAGGTGGAACTGGATATCGTGTCAGTTAAATATTGCGCAACTTTTCCATCTAGCATTGTCAAATGCAGTTTATGAAACACTGACACTTCTCTTCCGTGAACTACGCATTTCGTAGGCGATAGTGAATTAATTTCATTTCTCATACATTGAACTTCTGTCTTAATCAATTCCTTCGTTTCTTTCAGATATTGAAATTTAATGGGTCTGCAAAAGTGTGCGGATGAGAGCCAAGGATTTTTCCACAACAGACTATCAGTATCGGTACATTGCAATCGAAGGGGTACCATAGATACCATAAACATATTACTGTCCGTCATGATTGAATTGACATTATCACTTAACTTTTGCTTATATTCGCTTTGACCTGATGTACCAGCACATCCCCATTTGCTCGTTAAAAGTAGGTTGGTGTCATTTAAGGCTTCAATTTCACTTTCAGTTTTTAATTGCATAATTCCGTTGATTGTAGAACCGAGTAACTTTTGAAGCAGTACTTTAGCAGAAACGCTAGTAACTTTGTCAATTTCGGGCAAGCATTTGCTTCTGGCTTGAATAATTTTGTTGTAACTGGGTAACGCGTCGTGATTCCTCTTCTTCAACTCGTTTCGAAGCACAGTATACTTATCTTTGGAAAGTCCTAGGTCCAAAAACAAAGATAAAGCTTCTTCTCCGCTGTAAATTTTCGTGGTGCGTTTTTTGCAGTCCGAATGGTGTTCTTCATTTCATTAAGAAGATCGGAACCAACTTTGTCGACAGCTTCAAGAATGGATGGCTTTTCGTATTGTCGTTCTGATTTGTATCGTTGACACAGCCCTTAGTTAATCAAATCAGTAGACATATTTTGATTATGTTCTCTTAATTTCCGTCTTCTGGCCACCTCTGAACAATCCTCCAAACGTTTCACTGTTCTACCTGTATTGGACGTGGATAGAACTTGATACATCGCTGTGGCACATGCTTCTTCAGTTTTTAAAATCATACGGATACTAAGCCGCAACTGATTCCGCTCTTCGAATCTTGCTACCATCCTATAAGCACTTTTCCACCTTTCTTTGAAGAGTCTGAAATAATGTCGGATCGGTGTCCTGTCAACAATTTCCACATTGTACGTCCTTGCAATATGCCATAACAAATTTTCATAATTGTCAAAACTGTTTTCTTGAATGATTTGGTATAGATCATAAGAAATATAAATGAATATATTATGATAACATATGTCTTGTCATTTCTTAATTATTATATCCATTTCTCTTACAGTTATTAACAGTTTTAAGTCAATATGTCTAACAAGTGAAGGATATTGAACGCGCTACAGTTTATACATGAATATCTTGACACCCTGTAGTTCAATATGATTTATATTGATACAATTGAAGTATCATAATGTAGACAAATCTTCCCAAAATTTCATTAAAATATTTCCAATAGAACCGAAGTTACAGAATTTTTATCGCCAAAAGCCGTTTTGTCCCACTATGCGGCATACAGGATAGGCGTTCAATGAACTTAGTACACATACACAGAGTGTCCCAAAACTGGGGTAGGAGCCGAAGAGGGATGATTGCTGAGGTCATTCTAAATAACTTTTTCCTTTGCCAAAATGTTGTTTAAGGCTTCGTTTTCGAGTTATTAACGAAAAACACTGGCCAATCAGAGCGCGCCCTTAGTGTGGGCCGAACCACAAAAGTGTTGGATATGCTCTGCGTTCAAGCCGTGGTCGTGATCAAGTGCATCGGCACCACGTCGGTATGATAGAATTCGTTGGGCAAAAATTGTAGCGAATAATGAATGAAAAAAAGAAAAGAATAATAGTACATCGAATTATTGGTTGCTCATGAATAACGAATAAAGTAATGAATCGTTGTTCATGTAGAATGAATAAATCGAATTGATTCAACACTTTTATTAATTGTACGATAGGAATTTATAAAAAAATACTTTGTAATCATTTTTGAAACAAATATCGAAAAACGAATACACGATTTGGAAATAAAAAAAGTTTCCACGTATTAAAAAAAGGATTGAAATGGAATAACTAATAAACGTGTTAAATTCGAAAATATTCAAAATTAATGTAAATAAAACTTACCCATTCTAACTGAACATTCGAGGAAGGAACACGTTACGAAGAACAGCTGATCTCCAGACGAGATCATTGAACTCATTCAACCGCACGATCATTATCACTTTTCACAGAATTTCACTACATGGTCCGAAAGGCTCCAGTACTTTCAGGTAAATAAACATTTGTATTCACTGTCACGTTGTTATTGCACTGGGCACAAATGAAAAACATGTAATATTCCGCGCTCTTCGTAATGTTTTCACAACGTTATTGGTCTTCCTTTCCAACTTCAAATGAGACTGTTAGGTTGAGCGTCTGCAAGGTTTTTTTTGCTCTTTACCCTTTTCTACGTTCGGCTGTATTCAAAGTGTCGACACGAGCCTCTCTCGCTTACTCTCGGTTACCGACGAACCATGACCTATTTCCGATTGTAGAAAAAGACAAAGAGCGAAACAGACTTCACTGACGCTGAAGCTAGTAGTCCGATTTGAAGTTGGAAAGGAAGACTAGTATCGGCATGAAAACGTTACGAAGTAGTGCGGAATACAGGATTGCCTCGAAATAAGCAACTCGCTCGAGACCGAACAGTTGCTTATTACGAAGCAGGTATACTATTCGGCTTGACTTTGTTCTCGCAACGGGACGATAGAGAACACGAGAAACGAGTGAGAGATCCGAGGTAGCGGCAAATCATAAAGTGATCGGCCGGGCAGCAATGTTATTCTTTGAACAAGGATAGTGTTAGCGAGTTCATCTGGTCTGAGCAAGCAGAATAAAGAGACACGCAAGTAACGACACACACAGAGTTTATTTCACACAAGTAGAAAATATATACAACAGCGATAGCAAACAGTTTGCAAAGTACACATAAGTATTTACAGAAATTACGAGAACACACTGTGCGGACAAGAACATACAAATTATTATATTAAATGAAGAACGAAACGCGGGCTAAAAGACTTCAACGTCGCGTGATCGAGAAAATCACACTTGTAATGGCGTCTAGCGTGCCGGTTCCGTGGTAGAGAGGGGACCGCGTGAACTAAAGGGACCCGTGAGGTGCTGCCGCTGTCGGTAGCGACGTATCGGCGAAGTATTTTCGCTGCCAACTTTGTTCCTCTGCGTGGACTTGGGGAATTTCGTCAACAGATAGAATATAGCATGCCCTCTCATTCTCGCAGTATATCGCTTATTTCGAGGCAAATATACTAGACAGAGAAAGCATTATATATATTCCATACTTCTTCTACTAACCGATGTCACTGCTCAGTCGAACATGAAATTTATTACTTTCACGGACCTCTCACTCATTTCTCGGACCTCTCACTTTGCAGGCGACTTCAAACAAAGAAGAGGGAATAGCGAATTGCTTATTTCGAAGCAGAGACCACTTGCTTATTTCGAGGCAATACTGTATTACGTTTTTCATTTGTGCGTAGTGCAATAGCAACGCGACAATGAATACAAATGTTTAATTAGTTGAAAGAATCGGTCCCTTTTGGACTACGTAGTGAAATTCTGTGAAAAGTGATAGTGACGGTGTGGTTGAGTGAGTTCAATGATCCCGTTTGTAGATCAGCTGTTCTTTGTAACGTGTTCCCTCCTCGAATGTTCAGGATCGGCACAATGATTCAATGAAAAACCATTTTCATTGCAGCTGGATCATTTACAGACGAACTGGTAAGTTTCATTTATATTCAATCCTCTTTTTATTATATGCAAAATTTTCATTTCCAAAACGTGTATTCGTTTTTCTCATTTTTTTCAAAAGTGTTTTCAATCTTTTTAAACTCTTATCGTATAACAAATAAAAGTGTTAGATCAATCCGATTTATTCATTTTACATGAATAACGATTCATTACTTTATTCGTTATTCATGAGCAACCAATAATTCGATACTATTATTCTTTTCTTTTTTTCATTCATTATTCGATACAATTTTTGCCCAACAAATTCTATCATACCGACGTGGTGCCGATGCACTTGATCACGACCACGGCTTGAACGCAGAGCATACCCAACACTCTTGTGGTTCGGCCCACGCTAAGGGCGCGCTCTGATTGGCCAGTGTTTTTCGTTAATGACTCGAAAACGAAGCCTTAAACAACATTTTGGCAAAGGAAAACGTTGTTTAGAATGACCTCAGCAATCATCCCTCTTCGGCTCCTACCTCAGTTCTGGGACATCCTGTATAGGTATCCAAATCTATATGTATATTCTGACGTTGTTGTCACATACCCTTCGCTGACTTCAGGTGTTGGATGGCGCTTGTTCGTTCTCGTGTCTCACACTTATCGTTCACTCACACTAGGTATCGCTCTTTGCTGACTGTCGCGGTTCGGTTTAGCACTAGATCCTGTATTTCGGTTTAGTACTTTTTTATAAAGAATGTCTAGCTGCATTGTTTGATGCATAAAAAAGTACCCCATTCCATATAAAAAAACAAAGTTGACCTTCATATATCCTTGACGCGTCTACGTACGAAAAAGCTAATAACACCAGAACATGCCCCACTCGATACCATTTATGAAACATTTTTCACTACGTGCCACAATACCGAGGAAATCAAGATGTCAAAATCGGCTGAGACACCCTGTATACTAGTAGCAACAGCGGCGAATTCTGTCGCAGCGAAACAGTCAAACGTAGTTGAATATAAATGATCTCGTGAGCACCGAGTGGTTGGTGTTGATGTCGTGTTCAGCGTTATTTAAGTGCTTATAATTTTGAAAATTTTTTTAATTTAAAAACAGCTCATTTATACATGCATTTTCAAAAGTCCAAAAATTCGAAAAATGGAAAAAAAAAATGAATCGATCTTTTTACATTTTTGAACTTGAATCTGTTATTACATGAACAAATATATTAATAATATTTTATGTTAATTATCTGTAGGTTACAAACACATCAGTGGAGTGAAAATACTATCAAAACTGTGGTCAGATCATCCTGGCAAGTGCATGATGGCTACGTCGAAAGAACTATGCAAATAATAGTTACCCCTAAAGTTCGTGCTGAGGTTAGAGCTCACTTCAATTGCCCGGAATTAGAAGGTGCAGAGTTGGAGGATCAGGGGGAAGATGGTACAGCATTAACGCATTGGGAAAAACGAGTATTTGAGGTAAGCCTCCAGTTGACAGTTTCTGCTTTTGCGTCAAAATGAGAGACGGACTGTAATCTAGATGTTGCAGGATTGAATCTAACTTACTCCAATGTAATTCTATTTAATTCGGGTAATTCTTATAACTTGCAAGGAAAAGTCTCGAGCAGTTAGACTCCGATTTTGATGAAACTGTGCAGATTTTAAAAATAGCCAAAAATACGTACATACGTATTCTATGATACATACGTATTCTTTTAGCTGCGGTAATTCACTCTTAAGCGGTGAAATCACCCTCTAAAGGTTGAGCTTGTTACGTTGCGAGCGAGAGGCGGCGTGCAACGTACAAAATTAAGATTATTTTTAGATCTTATTTTCTATATTGAATTTATTTGGTTTATTATTTAATTGCGCGGTTGAGAAAGGTATTAGCGCTGCCACCAGTCCTGATCATATATGACGACCGCTTTTGCGATCGTCCTCTATGTTCAGAACAATTTAAAAAGACAGTAAATTTTCGATACTGGATTTACTACTGAGTTCGTTGATACTCTAGTCCCGTATGGGCCCTTCGTATGAATTTATGCAAAGTTGGTAGGCGTGAAATGTGATGAGGAATGTGTTTGATGTTTGAATTAAATCGAAACTGAATATGTGCAACAAAGAATATAATTTCAGGAAAATAAGTAATATATCAAAACATAACAATCGGTAAGGAAAGTGTTTGTTTGACAAAAGGTACGAGCTGTAAAAAATATAAGTGAAAGATGAATTATATATATATGTTTTTAAATAATCAAAGGTGAAGATCGCTTATCGGAAAAGACTAGTTTAAATCAGTTTTCATATACGCGATCAGATTCGAACGACGACGAGGTCTTTAAGCAACCGAATTTTATAATGTAATTTATTCGCAACTGATTATTCTGAAACTGAGGGAAACGAACCCAGGGAATATTTCCAGGACCAGACGGTCTCGTAGGCCGTCCCTTGTTTGATTAATTAGAAATTGCATCAAATTAAATGGAACGAAAAAAAAAATAATGAAAACAATTATCAATACCTTAACGACTTGTTGAACGGAACGATCTAGAGGAAATACCTTCAAGACTGACGGTCACGTAGATCGCCCGTTTTGCCTCACAATTAGACAGATTCATCGTATTAATAGAATAAAATAGACAACTCACCGAACTTGATGTTATAACGATATATGATAATATAATTTATTGCTTTGTAATTGCTGATGTTGTTTGGAATTTGAAAAGGCGAAGAATAGATGAGAAGAAATGTCACACCCGCACTACGCGTTCACGATAGGCCTTTTTTTATGGTATTTGCGGATTAAAACGAGACGATACAATGCGAATACGAAACGAAATTACAACCCGACGCGAGAAAAGAAAATAATTAATTACGAACCGTTTAAAATCAAAAGAGAAAAATAGTCAATTTGAAAGTGTGAAATTTAACGTATTCATATGAGTCCTTGCCGCAAAACACGAATTAAACATAATCTCGACACTCTGCCTTGCTACGCGAAGGAACTTTGTCGAGCAGATCAATTACGCGAATTTGTCGACAACTACATCTCTACGCGAACACGGGCTCCCCGTCACGTACCTTACGATTTTTCGACGAAGAGTGATTTGCCTCAGTCAAGCGATCGATGTCTCAGGGTTCGACCCGTAATCGGTACCCCAAGGGGGAACATCATTTAGCAAATCATGATACGCGTCGAAGGAGAAGGCCCACCCGTATTGGTTTGTCGAGGCGCGCGTTTCCCGAATTCTCATCCCTTCTTGACCTTTCTTTCCAGCCTTGTCTAATGTTGTCTATTCCTTTCTATCTTCTCTAGCGCTACAACGATTTTCGTGCGCCGCAATTTCTGGAATATTCGATGACTATTCTATGAATATTCGATGAATATTCTAGTTTGATTTTATTTAATGTTTTAAACTACGAGGCTATTACGACTTATTAGTCTAGAATATTCAATATATTTATTGGTATCGATGGAACGCTTTCATTAACGGTGTTCATCTCGCGTTAATTAGGTTGTTGCTAATCATTAAATAATATTCATTATTTGCGTTTTACGGATTTACGTGATAGAGAATACGGCGGTCTATAATTTATCGTTAGTTAATTATTGATTGGCAATGTCGCATGTATTTCAACGCGAGTCTACGCGTAATTAGTTGTTAACCTATTCTAGAACATTCTTTGTTCAAACGCTCGGCAGATTTCCGTTGCCTGGTAATTGTTATAATACGTGTTTATTGCCCTAGTCAACCCTTGTTCCGAACGTTCTTGAACGTTGGTCGTCGTTTTCAAATTCTCAGTGGTTGTCACGCATACCTCTTACTTCGCTCGATCATTCTTTCTTTCATGCATTTCAATCAAGTCGCTTTTATGGTTTTATAACGTTGCATTATATTCTCGCGTGAAAGGATCGACTGACGCACCTATTACAGGTAGGAGAGGTATCCTGCTAGTCGAGGTAAAACAAAAATCGTATCTTTTCAGTACTACACGGTTAGCATGGGAATGTTTACGATACATCTCCCTTAACGGTCTCAAATTTCGAAGTCTTTATAACTACGCAGTTTCGACGACGCAATCGTTCTTAGGAAGGTTGACTTTATTATTTGAAAGAAACTAAATATAGCCTCCTTTGAGTGCCTCGCCTGAGATTATCTCCAAGTGCTACGCACTGACGAGGTACGCAAATTCGGTATATTGAATGGTTGAAACTATTGAAACTATTGGAAAGAAATAAAATAATTTTTAACAAAAAAAGAATCCGACTTCCAAATGCACTAAAAAGTATAAAATAATTTCTATTTCATTTATACCAGTATTCAATAGCTATTAATAAAATCTACTTAATCGTTAAATAGAATACTAAATACATTTCAAAGTTTTCGGAGGCGGCGCAAAATTAGAAACTTTTCTTCTACTAGGAAGATCCTAGTTCAGGCGTCGGCAACCTGTGATAAATGACCCATTTGATAATTTCAAGTAAACAATATACAACGGGAATCAACATACCCATTGCGGATTAACTATATTGCAGTTCACGAGAGACCATACTTAACTCACGCAGGATACTAGGTCTAGGGACATTTTTAATAACGTGTGTCATTCCCCTGTACAGCTTGCTTCTTACTTTACGTTCATATAATTGTTTCTTTGAAGAAATAATAGGAATTTCATTGTATATTTACAGTTATCGTACGTCATATATTTCTGTCTACTATTTATATGATTGGAAAGTAAGAAGCAAGCTGTAGAGGAGAAGCACACACGTTATTAAAAATCTCCCTAGACCTAGTGAGCAGCGCGAATTAAGTATGGTCTCTCGTGAAATGCAGTATACATGTACAACAGAAGTGCTACCAACTTCTGATACAATCGTTACAATTACAAATGTTTTCTGCCGTATCTATAATGTTTCGAATTTTTTTTCTTACCACTTATTAATTACCAAGTTTGCCATACCGCAATCAAATCGTTATTAGTAGGATCGTATATTCGGGTATTTTTAATTTTGCGTCGCCTCCGAAAATTTTGAAATGTATGTAGTATCCTATTTAAGGATTAAGTAGATTTTATTAATAGCTATTGAATACTGGTATAAATGAAATAGAAATTATTTTATACTTTTTAGTGTATTTCGAAGTCAGATTTTTTTTTGTTAAAAATTATTTTATTTCACACTTTTTAGTGGAATTTGTAGGATGCCGTAATGTGGTTTACCGTTCTTATTGGATAATTACAACAACAATAGTTATTAACAATAACGAATTCCATAAACGTTTGCAAGTGGGATCATCGTAGAAATATCACCTATTAGATGTGAAAGTTGTTACGGGCAATGTGTTCAACGTGGGCATTTTGTAAAATGAGCTGTTATAAATTTTGACTTTATTAAACGATTGATTCCCTTCGACGGTTCTGGGGTAAGTGCCATGCCGTTCCTCATGGTCCTCCTACCAGAAGATGCAAGATCTTCCCCACTCCGTGGCCAGATCCTTCTAGAAAATCCTTATCTTTTTACACGTGCCATGTAGCACCATGACTTCGGGTCATCGGCCACACGCGCGTTCCTTTGAGGATCGGCGATCGAACTCTCTATCGCCGTTCCATAAACAAAACATCCGCGACTCTTAGAATGTGTCGCACCTCAAGTACCAACTACCGCCGGCCTAAGTCCGATGACAGACGTATGGCTCGGGGTATCGATAGCCTAAAGAATCCTGAGAAATCCTTGGAAAGCAGGTCAAAGCCCCAAATGCAATGACCCTGCCACGTGTCAACCCTTGAACACGTGCTGACGCTAACAGACCGGACATTGTGTAGATTGCACATTTTTTGGGCAATGTATATAATGAGTAGGTATTTCACAAATGGCCCGGCTATTTTATATAATACCCACGGTTCGTTGACATTAAACTTATTATTATTATTATTATTGAAACCATACATAGATGTGATAGGTTAGGATGGGCCACGCACTTACATCCGGCTGCCGCCGTGAAGCGGCCGACATCGCTTTCGTTATTATTTAAACAACACTATTGTCTTAGGAAAGTGTTGCCGGATGACTTACGGCGCGCCGCGGCATGTATTCTCTATAATGATCGGACATTTTATAGATTGACCGAAACTTGTTACGGACATTTTGCACAATGTCTTTTCGAACGGGCATTCTACAAAATGCCCGGTCATTTCACAACATGCTCACGTTAAACACATTGCCCATTACAAACGGTTTCATCACGATTGGTTCATTCCTTGCAGAGTAACACCAAGAAATAAGCTTTTTGCTATAATAATAGTTATTAACAATAATAAATTCCATACATTTTTGGAAGCGAGCTCATCGCGGAAATATCTCCTATTAGATTGGAAAGCTTTCATCGCGATCGGTACATTCCTTACAGAGTAACACCAGCGAATAGGTTTCTTGCTATAACAATAGTTATTAACAATAACAAATTCCACAAATTTTTACAACTGGGATCATCGCGAACATATCTCCGATTAAATGTGAAAGGTTTCATAGCGATCGGTACATTCCTTGCAGAGTAGTGCTAAAGAATAGGAGTTTGCAATAACAATCCTTATCCTTACTAATACATATATAAAAGTGAAAATGCTGATCGCTTATCCTTCGTTCACGTTTAAACGGCTAAACAGATTTTTATGAAATTTGCACTACTGGACAGCTTATTCTTTCAAGATGGACATAGGCTATGTCATATGGTGATATTGCGATTCGTTATGTTTTTAACTAACAAAGAAGCATTAAAGGATTGGTTTGGTAAGCCAAGCGTGAACGTAGAAAGGGATAGACAGTGGAGGAGAGAGAGAGAGAGAGATCCAATGATCAAAGGAAAGAGCCGAAACTTATCGGTGTGACTAAACTAATTGAATTATAAAACTTTTTTATTTTTGACTTTTTTAAAATGAAACTTTTACTATCGTATTGATGAAATTTTTTTTATTAAAATGATACCAAACACGATATAGTTTGAACTATAATTACTTCTTAAATTTGATGTTAAAAGTTGGTGAAAAGCCAGAGAGATCGAAATCAATACATCGCATTAATTCCTACTCCCTACTTAATGTATATATAAAATAATTTTTAACAAAAAATACAACCGACTTCGAAATGCACTAAAAAGTATGAAATAATTTCTACTTCATTTATACAAATACCCAACAGCTATTAATAAAACCTATTTACTCGTTAAATCGTATACTAAATACATTTTGTTACGTCGCGAGCGAGAGATACGGCGCGCGACGTACAAAATAAGGAAAATTAATTATTTTATTAATTTTGAGGATTAATACGCGGTTGAGAACGGTATTAGCGTTGCCACCAGTCCTAATCGTATTTGACGATGTTAGGTCATCCACGATTAGAACAATTTAAAAAGAATTGATAAATTAAAGTAAGATTCTAAATTGATTGAGTTCGTCAATGCTCTGGTCCCATACGGGCCCCTCGTGTGACTTCGTGCAAGACGGTAGGCGTGAATGTGAAGGAAGTATAGACTTTATTCGTCAACGGCTAAATCGAGAATGATCTGTTTTACATCTTTTGTTAATAACATTCGTTGCCATAGAAAGTTCTGGAATTGCAGGGACAGTCATATTAATATAGTGGCCCTCGCACCACTCTTACACTCACCACTCTTACAGAAGGAAGTGTGTTTGAAACGCAAATGAATTAGAAACCGATTACGTGTAACAAAAAGTATAATTTCAGGAAAATAAGTATAACAGTGAGAATGGTTTAATTAATAGAAAGTATGAGCTGTTTGAAATACAAAATAAATGAAATATATATATATTAGCAAGAAAAGTATAAAATTATGTAATAATGAAATCTATTGAGTTGAGAATATGACACAGAATTTGTAGCGGGCGTTAACAGTGAACTATTGATTTTAGATTAATTAAATTTTGAATCAGCATTAACGGTATGATTCGAGATGATTCGAGCGACGATTTCGGCAACAATTATCGTATAAGAGAGAAAACGGTCCCAGGGGGAAAACTACCAAGACCACGATCTCGTGGGCCGTCTCCCTTTAGTATAAACGGAATTTTTACAAGAAATGATAAGTATGTTCGATACCTTAAAACACGGTGTTTTACGGAACGATCCAGTAGGAAATTTCCAGGACACGCAGTCCCGTAGATCGCCCGTCTTGCCTCACAATCAACCAGATTTGTCGTACTGAGTAGAATGAGATAGATAACTTACCGAGCTCGATGTAAAACAATACACGATAATATAATTCAAAATTTTGTTGAAGCCTGGATGTTGTCTGGAAATCTGGAAGGCGAAGAAAAGATGAGAAACCTTGTCACTTGCACAACGCGTTCGCGATCGGCCTTTGTACAGTGTTACGGTTACGGAAACGATTATTTACGAAACAATACGATTAAACGACGCGGCGCGGAAAAGAAATAATCAATTAACGAACGATTTAAAAACGAAAGAGAAAAATAGAATATTGAAAAGTGTGAAGAGAATTTAACGTATTCGTAAGAGTCTTTTACGCGGAAAACGAGAATCGCAATCTCCCGGCACTCTGCCTTTTACAAGGACTTTACCGGACAGCTAATCACTACGATTTTCACGCGAAAACTAATGCTCGACGCGAACACGGGCTCCCCGTCACGTACCTCACGATTTTTCGACGAAGAGTTATTTGCCTCAGTCAAGCGATTGTGTCTCAGGGTTCGACCCGCGATCGTGGGCCCAAAGTGGGGACATCATTTGGCAAATCAGGGTACGTCACGGAGGGGAAATCTCGTACGTATTGGGTTAGTTGGCCGTTCTTCCTGGTTTCTCATCCCTTCTTGACCTTTCACGCTGCTCTTGTCTAGCGTTGCCTATTTCCTTCTACCCCTCTAATGCTACGCGAATTCCATGCGTCGCAATTTCAAAGCTTCTGGAATGTTCGAAATCTATTACGATTCGATTTTATTCGAATTTACTAACCAAAGAGGCTCTTCTAAATGATATTTCCGGTATCGAAGAAGATCTAGGTTTCATAATAAATGTTTAACTTACTATATTGAATGACTAGTAAATGAATATTATTAAATTATTCCGTTCTTATTCGCGTTTCGACGGTTTACGAAAAAGGCAATCGGTGTTTTGTAATTATTATCAAATCGCGGATGTATCCGAGTATTCCGTTGCATTTATTTGAAATTAGTTCCGCGTATATTAATTATTAACGGTATACGTATTTGAAACGTTTACCAGATGTTCGTTTCCGATGTTTATTATCCTGGTCGACCT